TTCCCTCCTTCAGGGAACGAGGGTTACATACGTAACCGAGACGTTCCCTTTCAGTCGGTCACTCTCGACGTCACGTCGGATGACCGACGAATTGGGATCTCGCTTAGAGAGACCAATCCACTTCGAGTGTAAACTAAACGAGCCAATGCACATTGGCATGCGATTATTGCATCCAGCTGCTGCTGATCACAGCGTGAGTATAAGTAGGCAGCAGATGCAGCGCATATTCAGGTTTTCGCTGAGGAGCCGAGCCGGTGACCCGGCCGCTCAGCGGTGGTACAGGAGCTGTGGCGACGGGACGTGACGTCTCCGTTCCCTCCTTCAGGGAACGAGGGTTACATACGTAACCGAGACGTTCCCTTTCAGTCGGTCACTCTCGACGTCACGTCGGATGACCGACGAATTGGGATCTCGCTTAGAGAGACCAATCCACTTCGAGTGTAAACTAAACGAGCCAATGCACATTGGCATGCGATTATTGCATCCAGCTGCTGCTGATCACAGCGTGAGTATAAGTAGGCAGCAGATGCAGCGCATATTCAGGTTTTCGCTGAGGAGCCGAGCCGGTGACCCGGCCGCTCAGCGGTGGTACAGGAGCTGTGGCGACGGGACGTGACGTCTCCGTTCCCTCCTTCAGGGAACGAGGGTTACATACGTAACCGAGACGTTCCCTTTCAGTCGGTCACTCTCGACGTCACGTCGGATGACCGACGAATTGGGATCTCGCTTAGAGAGACCAATCCACTTCGAGTGTAAACTAAACGAGCCAATGCACATTGGCATGCGATTATTGCATCCAGCTGCTGCTGATCACAGCGTGAGTATAAGTAGGCAGCAGATGCAGCGCATATTCAGGTTTTCGCTGAGGAGCCGAGCCGGTGACCCGGCCGCTCAGCGGTGGTACAGGAGCTGTGGCGACGGGACGTGACGTCTCCGTTCCCTCCTTCAGGGAACGAGGGTTACATACGTAACCGAGACGTTCCCTTTCAGTCGGTCACTCTCGACGTCACGTCGGATGACCGACGAATTGGGATCTCGCTTAGAGAGACCAATCCACTTCGAGTGTAAACTAAACGAGCCAATGCACATTGGCATGCGATTATTGCATCCAGCTGCTGCTGATCACAGCGTGAGTATAAGTAGGCAGCAGATGCAGCGCATATTCAGGTTTTCGCTGAGGAGCCGAGCCGGTGACCCGGCCGCTCAGCGGTGGTACAGGAGCTGTGGCGACGGGACGTGACGTCTCCGTTCCCTCCTTCAGGGAACGAGGGTTACATACGTAACCGAGACGTTCCCTTTCAGTCGGTCACTCTCGACGTCACGTCGGATGACCGACGAATTGGGATCTCGCTTAGAGAGACCAATCCACTTCGAGTGTAAACTAAACGAGCCAATGCACATTGGCATGCGATTATTGCATCCAGCTGCTGCTGATCACAGCGTGAGTATAAGTAGGCAGCAGATGCAGCGCATATTCAGGTTTTCGCTGAGGAGCCGAGCCGGTGACCCGGCCGCTCAGCGGTGGTACAGGAGCTGTGGCGACGGGACGTGACGTCTCCGTTCCCTCCTTCAGGGAACGAGGGTTACATACGTAACCGAGACGTTCCCTTTCAGTCGGTCACTCTCGACGTCACGTCGGATGACCGACGAATTGGGATCTCGCTTAGAGAGACCAATCCACTTCGAGTGTAAACTAAACGAGCCAATGCACATTGGCATGCGATTATTGCATCCAGCTGCTGCTGATCACAGCGTGAGTATAAGTAGGCAGCAGATGCAGCGCATATTCAGGTTTTCGCTGAGGAGCCGAGCCGGTGACCCGGCCGCTCAGCGGTGGTACAGGAGCTGTGGCGACGGGACGTGACGTCTCCGTTCCCTCCTTCAGGGAACGAGGGTTACATACGTAACCGAGACGTTCCCTTTCAGTCGGTCACTCTCGACGTCACGTCGGATGACCGACGAATTGGGATCTCGCTTAGAGAGACCAATCCACTTCGAGTGTAAACTAAACGAGCCAATGCACATTGGCATGCGATTATTGCATCCAGCTGCTGCTGATCACAGCGTGAGTATAAGTAGGCAGCAGATGCAGCGCATATTCAGGTTTTCGCTGAGGAGCCGAGCCGGTGACCCGGCCGCTCAGCGGTGGTACAGGAGCTGTGGCGACGGGACGTGACGTCTCCGTTCCCTCCTTCAGGGAACGAGGGTTACATACGTAACCGAGACGTTCCCTTTCAGTCGGTCACTCTCGACGTCACGTCGGATGACCGACGAATTGGGATCTCGCTTAGAGAGACCAATCCACTTCGAGTGTAAACTAAACGAGCCAATGCACATTGGCATGCGATTATTGCATCCAGCTGCTGCTGATCACAGCGTGAGTATAAGTAGGCAGCAGATGCAGCGCATATTCAGGTTTTCGCTGAGGAGCCGAGCCGGTGACCCGGCCGCTCAGCGGTGGTACAGGAGCTGTGGCGACGGGACGTGACGTCTCCGTTCCCTCCTTCAGGGAACGAGGGTTACATACGTAACCGAGACGTTCCCTTTCAGTCGGTCACTCTCGACGTCACGTCGGATGACCGACGAATTGGGATCTCGCTTAGAGAGACCAATCCACTTCGAGTGTAAACTAAACGAGCCAATGCACATTGGCATGCGATTATTGCATCCAGCTGCTGCTGATCACAGCGTGAGTATAAGTAGGCAGCAGATGCAGCGCATATTCAGGTTTTCGCTGAGGAGCCGAGCCGGTGACCCGGCCGCTCAGCGGTGGTACAGGAGCTGTGGCGACGGGACGTGACGTCTCCGTTCCCTCCTTCAGGGAACGAGGGTTACATACGTAACCGAGACGTTCCCTTTCAGTCGGTCACTCTCGACGTCACGTCGGATGACCGACGAATTGGGATCTCGCTTAGAGAGACCAATCCACTTCGAGTGTAAACTAAACGAGCCAATGCACATTGGCATGCGATTATTGCATCCAGCTGCTGCTGATCACAGCGTGAGTATAAGTAGGCAGCAGATGCAGCGCATATTCAGGTTTTCGCTGAGGAGCCGAGCCGGTGACCCGGCCGCTCAGCGGTGGTACAGGAGCTGTGGCGACGGGACGTGACGTCTCCGTTCCCTCCTTCAGGGAACGAGGGTTACATACGTAACCGAGACGTTCCCTTTCAGTCGGTCACTCTCGACGTCACGTCGGATGACCGACGAATTGGGATCTCGCTTAGAGAGACCAATCCACTTCGAGTGTAAACTAAACGAGCCAATGCACATTGGCATGCGATTATTGCATCCAGCTGCTGCTGATCACAGCGTGAGTATAAGTAGGCAGCAGATGCAGCGCATATTCAGGTTTTCGCTGAGGAGCCGAGCCGGTGACCCGGCCGCTCAGCGGTGGTACAGGAGCTGTGGCGACGGGACGTGACGTCTCCGTTCCCTCCTTCAGGGAACGAGGGTTACATACGTAACCGAGACGTTCTCTATTGGCTTCTTTTGGTTCCATGAAGAACCTTTAACATCCCTTGAATCGTTCCAGGTCCTTTATAGTGGAAAAAGCTTCTTTAGATAATTAAAAGTGCTCTTCACACAAGGTTTGAAGAACCAAAAATGGTTTTTCTATGGCATCACTACAAAAAAAGTTCTTAAAAGAACCATCTTTTCTTGGTGTGAAGAATATTTCAATCATCTAAAGAACCCTTTTCCACTGTAAAGAACCTTCTGTGGAATTGGAAGGCTCATCATTGAACCATAAATTAAAATAAAGGTTCTCTATTGGGTTCTATTGGTTCCATGAAGAACCTATAACATTCATTGAATCTTACTTTCCAGGTTCTTTACAGTGGAAAAAAAATAATTGAGATGTTCTTCACACCAAGAAAATAATGGTTCTACTAATGGTTCTTTGGGGAACCAAAAATGCTTCTTCGATGGCATCACTGCAAAAACAGCTTTATTTTTAAGCATGTGGAACCTTTCATTCAACAAAAGTACTTTATAGTGGAAAAAGGCTTAAAATGTTCTTCTTCTTTTAAGAACGTTTCACTGAAAGGTTCTTTGGGGAACCAAAAATGCTTCTTCACTCTTAAAAATAAAGGTGCTTCACAGTGATGCCGCAGAAGAACCTTTTTGTCTAAATGGTTCCATAAAGAACCTTTCTGTTTCACAAAAGATCCTTTGTGGCGAAAGAAGGTTCTTCAGATTATAAAAAGCTAAGAAAGAGTTCTTTAAAGAAAGAACCTTTGACTGAATGGTTCTCTGTGGAACCAAAAATGGTTATTTTATGGCATCGCTGTGAAGAACCTCCTAAGCACCTTTATTTTTAAGCATGTGGAACCTTTCCATTCAACAAAAGAACTTTATAGTGGAAAAAGGCTTAAAATGTTCTTCTTCTTTTAAGAACTTTTCACTGAAAGGTTCTTTGGGGAACCAAAAATGCTTCTTCACTTTTAAAAATAAAGGTTCTTGACGATGCCATAGAAGAACGTTTTTTGTCTAAATGGTTCCATAAAGAACCTTTAACATCTGAAGAACCTTTCTGTTTCACAAAAGGTTGTTTGTGGCGAAAGAAGGTTCTTCAGATTATAAAAAGGTAAGAAAGAGATGGTTCTTTGACTGAATGGTTCTTTGTGGAACCAAAAATGGTTCTTCTATGGCATCGCTGTGAAGAACCTTTTAAGCACCTTTATTTTTAAGCATGTAGAACTTTTCCATTCAACAAAAGAACTTTATAGTGGAAAAAGGCTTAAAATGTTCTTCTTCTTTTAAGAACTTTTCACTGAAAGGTTCTTTGGGGAACCAAAAATGGTGAAAACCTTTATGTTTAAGAGTATACGACCATAGAACCACCTCAGGCTGGTTTAAGAAGAGACTTGAGAAGATGCGTGATGGTTTTTCTCTCCTCAGCCAACTCCCTTAAAAAATACAGAGGCTTCCTGTTTCTGTAGAACTGAGCGAAATGGGCTGTGAATGACAGATGTTACAGAGAGACGAGTGTATCTTACCCTCATGCCTTCAAACCGGGACAGCGCTCTCAGCGGTCTGAGGGCTCTGAGCGTTCTGAGAGATTTGATGGCAGCAAAGTCCGAGTAGCCCAGCGTGCTTGCTACAAGGCTTACGAGAGACACCTGAGTGACAGAGAGCCGAGGAGAAAGAGAAGATAGAAACGCAGCGTTAGGACCGCAATAACATCACACCCGCTGCAGTCCTGCGGAAGGAAACGAGGCATCAGACTGCGGCGCTAGGAGGAAAAACAGGGCTTAATCATCACGGAAACCCGGTTCTGGAGACCTGTTAAGGAAAAATTTGGTTTTAAGGGCCATTGGTGGTTGTTTCATCGCTCCTCTGTGACCTGTGAAGGACTGAAGGGGGGTTTAGAGGGCAGCTGTCTATTGAGTCTACTCAGACGGTGCCTTCGGTGCCGGGCCCCGGGCCCCAGTCAGAGCGGCTCTTACCCTCATCCCAGCAAAGCGAGACACGGCGCGGAGAGGCCGCAGCGCCCGGAGCGTCCGCAGAACCCGCATGGAGCCAATCTGATCATAATTGACCACACGTGCCACCAGACCAATCACTGACACCTGCATGAAGCGAATTATAGCTCGTTTAGTTTCCATGAGTTCATAGCATTCATACTGTTCTAATGGGATTTTTGTATTCATGTTCCAATCAGTCTTTTGAAATTTAAAAAAGCAAAAAAAAATGTTTCAAAAGCGTTTCATGTGCATTTAATAGCTTTAAACTTACTTGGATCTTATTTACTATAAATATTAAAATCTCATAACATTACTCATATTAATCAAATTTGATTTTGTCCATGCAGTCAATCTTTAGAAATCAAAAAACTATTTCAATGCTAACGTAAATGCATTTCATATGCATTTAACAATTTTGATATACTTGATATATCATAAATATTATAACAAACACTATACTATATTAAATATAATTTAATATTATAGAAATATTAAATTTAAAATATAAAATATAAAAACTATAAAAATATAAAATTGTATAATATATAAAAAAAAATATCTGAAAAATACTGCAATATTCATATTATTCATATTAATCACATGCTTGTTTTGTCCATGTTCCTGTCTGTCTTAATAATTAAAAAAATAAAAATGAAATGTCGAAGTAAATGCATTTCATGTGCATTTAGCTTTAAAAGTACTTAATCTCATTTATTATAAAGATTGAAATCTCAAATTTCATATTTTTCTAATTTTGTCAATGTTCCAGTCAATCTTTAGAAATCTAATCTTGAAAAAAAATAAACTATTTAAAAGTCAAAGCAAAGCATTTAATGTGCATTTAACAGCTTTAAAAAATACTTAATCTAATTTATTATGAATATTAAAATGAAAAAGTATATCATTTATATTAATCAAATGGGACTGTTTTGTCCACTGTCAATTTTTAGAAATAAAAAAAACTATTTCAGTGTCAAAGCAAATTCATCTAATGTGCATTTAGCAGCTTTAAAAGTACTTTTCTGATTATTAAAATCTCATATTTAAAAAAAATTAAAAATATGAGTTCACGACAAATGAAATTAAAAAATTTAATTTCTTGTACGAGTAACAGCTTTGAAAGTACTTGATCTAAATGATTATGTAAAAATGTCATATTATTCATATGAATCAAATTGGGATTGTGTTCATGATCCAGTCAATCTTTAAAAAACAAAAACTTTTCGATGTCAAAGAAAAACTTACAGTTTAAACTTAAATGATGTAATTTATGTAATTTATTCGAAATATTAAAGTTTTATCAATTTCATATTATTCCAATAGGACAAAATCTTCCGAGAATCTTTCACTATTACTTAAAAAAATTAAATAAAATATTTTGTGCTTATAATATTTTTTCATTCATTAAAGATGAATCCTTGTTTAATTTATATAAATTAAATCACATGGTTTAAATGCTATTTCTTTTCTCCTCATTTATGAATATAAATGTATAAATTAAATACATTATATTACACGAATGCATTTGGCAGACACTTCTATCCAAAGCGACTTACACACATTGCATTTTTAAAGGCATACATTATTTTTCACGCATTTCCTAGAAATCGAACCAATGACCTTGCCGTTGTTTGAGCAACAGGAATTAAACACCCTTCTGTACTTAAAAGAGGAATTTTAGGCACATTTTCTACATCATCTCATCAAGTGTCAACAAACCGCATAATGTGAAAAATCTACTCTGAAGAGACTCAAATACAGCGGTGCATTTGATCAGTACTTCATGCTGCAGTGAAGGTGGAGGTGAAGTGTGTCATTTCTGCAACACTTGCATCAGCAAAACATCAAAAATAATTACACACTCCACCTTTCACATCACAACTTTACAATTGACTGTAGATCTGAATCCACAGCTCTCCTTACCCTCTGTTTTATTCTCACTGAATGGAGCCACACAAATAAAAAATATTTCATGTACATGTAGAGTCTGTACAGCGATGCAGTCGTGGTTGTTTTGGCTCTTTGGTCAAATGACATTTTTAACTGATGAATAGATGAATGCTCTACCACAAATATGGCGTGTAAGCTTAGAAAACTAGATTAATCAAGAAAAATAAAATAAGTATGGCCTGCTAACATGATCCCATTAATATTTGTACATAGTTCCACATATGCATAGCAGACATGCATACATCTGTCATGTTTGGATAACTATACATTTTTGGACAAAATTCCATAATTATCTGACAATTGAGAGTGTTTCTATGGGATTATTGTGTATGGCTCTCTTTCAAAAAACAAAAAAACAAAACAAAAACCCATCACACATATTTGTTTTAGAAATTAATGTCAATAGAAATGCATTTATGTGCATTTATGAGTGTGTTTTTGGTGTTTTTTTTAGGGGATTTATGGTACTAAATTATATTAAAAGAATAGTTATGATCCATTTATTTCCTGTTAATACTTTTTGAGCTTAGAAAATAAAACCTGAAAATAAAATGTCCAACTTTCAAACTGTTGTAAATCTTGAATGCTTTGGAGCTTTTCAAAAAGTTACAGAAGTTTAAGTTCATTATTACGAAAAATACACACACACACACACACACACACACACACTCGCACGCGCACACGCACGCGCACACGCGCACACGCACTCACGCACACACGCACACACGCACTCACGCACTCACGCACACACGCACACACTCTCTCTCTCGCTCACACACACACACACACACACAATAATTAATATGACACATATTTTCCAAAACATGTTTTACTCTAAATCGAAACCATAAATCTAAACAAGTTATGTTCCAAATTTGAGGTTGATATCTCAGTTTTTATGTATGTATGCATTTTTTTATTTATTTTTAATTTTTATTTGTTTTGTTTTATTTTTTAGGACCATTCAACCTTGTTTGTTTGTTTGTTTGTTTTTGTTTTCAATGTGTTCACATAGCAAGTGCCAAAATCCTTAACAAGTCCTAAACAAAACCGAAACAAAAAAAATCAGTCAAAAATGACCAGCTTCAGATGGTAAAAGCATTAAAAGTACTAATATAATTTATTCCAAATGTCAAAATCAACCTATGAAATTAATATTATATGAACTTATATACGTTTTCTGGAGTTTTCTTTTTTACAAGAAATAACTATTTCAGTTTTCTAAATCAAAATTTCATGTTCAATTCAACGTGTGTTGCCGTTTCTTTGTGATTATGAAATTTACTAGCAATTTCTAAGTGCAAATTTTTAGAGGAAATCCTACAGCATTATTTTTCAGTATAAGTTATCAGAATCAACCCAAATATGTGCACAAATACAAGCTTACAAATACTGAAATATCAGGCCAAAACAAACCGCGCTGTATCACTGGACTGAATCTGGAGCTCGAACAACAGCAAACACGATAATAATTATAAATGATCATCTTTTAATGTTACTGATGAAGTGCTGGAAAGCTGAACCACAGCCGATTTGATTATTATACAACAGAAAAGTTGCTCTCTGTAAACCCGAGCTCATTCAATCTTCCTGAGATTTTAAATGTTTTATAGTAAAGCACTTCTGCTGTTATTCATTCGCTGCACTTTGCAATCAGATGCTGGGGAAATAAATTGATGCACTTACAGCCACAATGAGAAAGTCCAGCCAGCACCAGTAGTTGGTGAAGTATTTCCTGAAACCGTAGGCGATCCACTTCAGACTCATTTCCAAGATGAAGATGTAGGTGAAGATCTTGTCTGCGTATTCAAGCACCACTTTGACCACTTTCCTTTGTTCAATGTAAATGTCTTCAAATGCCTTTCAACAGAGAGATGCAGAAGCAGCAGTGTGTTAAACTACACGTACAGAACAAGCTGAGGAAGACTTCTGAAGACCTTCAGCACTTCATTCGTGTCATTAACACATTTGACAGTGAAACTGAATGAAGACTGGGACAATCTACAGAAATATGATGAAAAAGCAGCATGAACGTTTTATTAAAGTGATGTTTATATTAATGATATTATTATGTGCTAATTTATAAAGAAAGTAAGTCATTTGGGTTTGGAGCATTGCTGTTTTAGTATCACTGAGATACTATTATCAGGGTAAACTAAAATTAAAACCTTAAACTTAAAAAAAAAACTTAAACCACAACATACATTATTGTCAAAAAAACAAAAAATCCTTAAACTTATTTTATTTCAGCTAGTCACCAAAGCAACATTTCTCATTTTAATTTAGTTTATTTTTTTAAATATGTCTATAGTTTTTTTTTGTTGTTGCTGATTTTTACTTTAGTTTTAGTTATTTTTGTACATCAAGTTAAACTACTTCAAAATGAGAAATGTTGCATCTGAAAATTAGATTTAAAAAAATTAAATGAAAATAAAGAATGATTTTATTTCAATAAACATATCAAGAAATGAATATGTTGTTTTATGGTTTTAATTTTTGTTAACTATAATAACCCTTGTTTGGTTCACTGTTATTTTAGTACAATATAACTGAGATACTATTCTAGTTTTTATTAATATTTTGAATTTTTATTTTACTTTAATATCTTCTGCTTTCATTTTAATTCTAGGTAAAGTTTTAGTAATGTAGTGGGTTTTTTGCCATTTTTACCAAATTTATTTTTTTTAATGTTATTGTTTTAATTTCAGTTAACTATAATAACCGTGGTGTTATTTTGGTATAGTATAATACAGAATATAATTGAAATACTATTATAGTTTTATTTTTATATTTTCCATTTTCATTTTAACTCTAGATTTAGCAATGTGTTTTTTTGGGGGGGTTTTTTGCCATTTTTACTAGTCCTTTTAATATGTCTATATAGAGTTTTTTATTAATTTTGATTTCAATTTGAGTTATTTTAGTATAACTAAACTAAATGGAAATGAGAAATGTTGCCTTGGCAGCTGAAATAAAATAATTTAAATTTCTTAATTTTTTATTTTAGTTCAGTTAACTTTTCTTTTATTTCAAATAACAAAAATGTTTTTTTGTTTTTGTTTTAGTAGTTAACTATGATAACCCTGGTTTGGACCACCATTAGGATGAGTAAATGATGAATTTTCATTCTTGGATGATCTATTTCCTCTTTATTAAGCATCCAGACTGTTCGACGGAGCGGTTCTACTCTACTGCACATACATGCGCCGATGACCAGCCAAACATCTGCGTCCACCGGACTCGCCGCTGCTTTTTGCCAACTGTGCTGTTTCTCATTTTCTGCTTACTTTCTGTTTTCATGTGTAATCATTCAAGTGCACGTCTTAAAGAACAGCTGCCTGCTGAAGCTGCTGGTAAATGCCACTAAAATCCCAGCCGGTCTGCGCACACCTGGCACCCGGCTGTAAGACAGAGCACTGACATTAGCCCCTCTCTGTGAGTCACACATGCAGGACTCTGGTCTTTAAGGAAATGCACAGTCTTATATAATATTATGCAGCAGGAATATATTTTTCGCTCTGGCATTTACTGTTTTCTGTGTCATGCATAATCTCACAAAGACAGAACTGGTAATGCTTAGAGTCGACATAAAGACATGTTCCTCATCTTATTGTGTTATTATAAAAGAAAACAAATATTTGTCTTTGCAATATTTTATCCTAGAGACACTCTTCACCACCTAATCAATACCTAAAATATAAAAGGTCAAGCTGTACATTTTTATGTCAGACTGCGGTAAAAATTACAAGTAAAAGAGATTGTGAAAGTCTTTCATGCAATATAACTTAACATGCTTAACATTAGTAGTTCATACACATTTAGTTTAAACATATGCACACTAACATTCAGAAGTCTCTTCTGCTCAACAAGGGTGCATTTATTTGATCAAAAATACAGTAAAAATGTGAAATATTATTACAAGTTAAAACAGCTGTTTTCTATGTGAATATCTGTTAAACTGTAATTTATTTCTGTGATGCGCAGCTGTATTTTCAGCATCATTACTCCAGTCTTCAGTGTCACATGATCTTCAGTAATCATTCTAATATGCTGATTTGCTGCTCAAGAAACATTTCTGATTATTATCAGTGTTGAAAACAGTTGTGCTGCCCAATATTTTTGTGGAAATGGTGATACCTTTTATTTTTCAGGATTCACAGATGAACAGAAAGTTCAAAAGAACAGCATTTATTTGAAATAGAAATCTTTGGTAACATTATAAATGTCTGTACTGGCACTTTTGAACAATTTAATGCACCCTTGGTGCATGAAAGTATAAATTTTTTTTTTTTTTTTAAATTGTGACCCAAAAAATCTATCTAATTTACAAATAAATATGAAAGTACTTGAATGCACATTATGATCCAATTCAATAATATTTTTTCAATGATGCATTAATAATTATAAAAGTTACTTATTATAAAGTGTGACTAAATATTAAATTTTTGAGAAACCCCTTAAAAGCACAAAAATCTCTGGCAAGAAATCAATAATGGTGTTAATTTAGTACTAACAGCGGCTGTTTGAAAGGATGAGCAAGACTGTGATTATTTCACAACACGGCTAACAGCCCGTGGCACGTGTTGATGTAGATTAGTGTCATCTGACATCTGCGTTTGCTGGCGTCTGACAGCTCTCTCTGGAGACGCCAGTCGGAGGAGTTGACCAGTCAGCAGGCCATCGGCCGCCACAGGCCAGCTAGCAGGAAGTGAGCTGCCACTTCCTGCCAAACACACACCGATAGAGACAGCTTCTGTGCTCGGTTTGAAGTCAAAGCTGTCATAAGGTCAGTGAAGCAAGCTGAGACTCGAGTAAGACGTCTTTACTGAGACACTACAGGCAAAAACATTGCTTCGTCATGCACTGTTCAAGTTTGAGATTCTGCTTCCAAAACATGTCTTCTTTCAGACTAGGGGAAAGAAAACATCCAAAATACATATGTAAGTGTTTATTTTAGTATAATTCAGTAAAACTGAGATATTATTATAATTTGTATTAATATTCTGAAATTGTTCCTATTTCCTGTTTTCATTTTGATTGTAGTTAAAGTTTTAGTAATGCAGTTGTTTTGGACATTTTTACTATTTGTTTTTTTTATCTAGTTTTTATGAATTTTTATTTAAATTTTAGTTATTTTAGTACATCAAGTGAATGTACTAAAATAAATGAGAAATGTTGCAGCTAGTTGAAATAAAATAAGAATTTTTTTAAATGTTATTTTATTTCAGGTAATGTTTCTTTCTTTCTTTCTTTTTTATGGTTTTAGTTTTAGTGAACTATAATAACCCAGGTCTGGACCACCATCAGGATGAGTAAATTATTAATTTTCATTCTTGGATTATCTATTTCTTCATGTTTTACTTTTTTATTAAGAGTTCAAACTTTTGAATGTTTATTTTATTGCACTTGATCTATTCGCGTCTGTAGATTTAAATTACAATTCATATCTTTAAAAGGTTTTTCCTCCACTTCAGCAGCACTTACATACACCAAAACTTACAGTTTTATTTCTCTCTATATACTGAAGGTTTTTACTGAGGGGTTTGTTGATATTTCATTCAACTAATTTTATACAACACTTTATTCCAAAAAGCATGGCGAAAATGTATTTTTTCTGTCTGTTGACAGTATTTTGTGATTTATAGAGTGATGAAAATAGATATCCAAAATCCCCTCAGTAAAAACATTAAACTCTAATATGTCAACAAAATCAAAAAAATTTTTGAATCTGGCTTTATCCAATGTTCATATTTATTCTCTGGAAATGTTTACAAATTAGTGCATATTAATTAGATAATACCTCATTCGCGTAAACATAACATTTCATAACTTGTTTAATACAAAACAATTGTCTTTATATACTGTGATTAATCAACTGGGAAGGTATGTGATATCTATACGTTTAAATTTTCACCTATAGTGTCTTGGATTAAGTAACAAATCCTACTACTGTGACTGCACTGTAAACAAAGTTTTTAGCATTCAGTGCAAACTAAAAACGACAGATTAAATCTCACCAGCGCTCCACTGCTGAGGAGGATCATGAAGATGATGAAGGTCTCAAACCAGCTGTGCTCCACTATCTGATAACATGTCTTCCTCAGACGCCACCAGGCTCGACCCAGACCCTCGGACGTGTTGATGTCACAGCACTTAAAGCGACGTACACAAACTGGAAAACAAAACCATTAAAGTTTAATGATTAATAAATGGGTCAATGAAACAGAAGTTCCAAGATGACAAAAACATATTTTAAAATGTAATTTTAAAATTTATTATTTATAGTTTCTTGTAGTTTTTAAAAACTTTTATACCATATTCAACAAATGTTCTGACTAAATAACTCCAAAATCAAGTGTAAAATTTAAAATAAGTAATATAACTAAATACAATTATAAAAAGTATATATATATATATATATATATATATATAATTTTGTGGGAGTATCTACAAAGGTCCATGCTAATATAATTTCCTTTTGGGGTTTTTTTCACATGAAAATAAAACGCTTTTGGTTGACTACACCACACTAAATATTAAATATTAAATATAAGTTCAGTTGTAAAAAAACATAAGTTTGTACAAGTCATTTCAACTTAAATTACATTAAACCAACTTCAAGTAAAGTTCGGTTTCATATAACTTGAAATTATAAAGTTATATAAATTATAAAATTATGAAATTGCTCAACTTATTTTGATGAGTTACAGTAAATTGCCATGACTTACAGAGCATATATTTTTTTTACAGTGTAGCATTTTAAAACAAAACTGCTTTAAAAAAATAATAATATTAAATTAAAGAATATGCCAAACTACATAATTTTTCATAAATTAATAGATTATTCACGTGTTGAACAGAAGTAATTCAGACTATAATTGAAACGACGACACTCATTTTGCTGACTTTTCCACTTTCAAAACCTCTTTGTTTAAAACAAATGAAAACTCAACTTCAAAAGACTTCAAAGAGCTTCCAAACACTTCAAAAGATCACAAACGCAGTTCCAGCGAGAACGTGGAGATCAATAGCTGAACTGCTCTACTGCGTGCAATACAAACACATCAGTAGAAATAAATGATATTTCTGAATAAATAAATAAAATGTCCTCGTCTTGATAATCTGTCAGTCTCTGCGTTCGAGACGCAGCTTTTATGTGACATTATCCCGGCCGGTATCACTGGCGCTCTGAAAGCCCGCCGTCTGTAACAATGAGTCCCTGCCATGAAATCCCATTTGAGCCTCGAATGGTCGTCAAAGCGTCTCCATTACTGGCATCTGAGCTCCTCTAAATGAACTTATTGCCTGTAAACTTAATAACAGGGTTATGGTAACAGGGTTCTCTCAACTCAATTTGTACTGATGCTCCTGCTCTCCATTGGCGGCATCAGACATTTTAGCACCCGGGCATCACCATTCATCAAGCAATTAACAACCATCAAAGCAAAATCAAAAGGGCTCAGAGTCTGGAGTTATTGGTGACTTCATTGCTTTATTCGCCTCTTCATAGATTTGATTTGTCAGAGAACATCCCGTGAACACAGACTCCAGACAGTCGTGTTTCAGTGTGTCACTATTACTAACTCATTTAATCCCAAAGTTTTCTCAGACATGAAAATATCAAAATGATGTGTCATTAGTAACCCCTTGAAATAATCAATAATTTTTTTTTTTTTTTACTTTTTATGGAAAAGTGTGTGTTTTATGATTGGTCACAATTGTGAACGGTGGGATAATGTGTATACTGAAATTAAATTATTTCTGCAGTCATCAAAATTCTTATATATCTCAGCCCAGTTATTAACCCATTTTAAACTGTTTCATAACATTCTATCCTTTTGTTTTGGAGCTTTGATGCAGCCATCATCATCTCATGGTGCAAACAGGAAGTAAACTGCTTTGGTTATGTGACAATTTGCACTAAACATGTGACACTGCACATATTTAATTGAGAGCCTTTAGTTTTTCCATATTTAGAGAAAATGCACTAAAACACCAGTCAGTAACATTTTAAGAGCTTAACCTTCTTTACGGTCACTATTGTGACCAGTGGGATTAAATGGGCTAATGCTCATAGTTAAGGTTAGAGATTTGAGTATTAAACTCTACACTTTAAATGAGGCGTACCGAATTGATTAGTAAATTACATTTAGAAAGAATTAGGTTAGAACATTATATGAAAAGATCTCGTCCCTTTTTTATTTTCTTCAGAATTGTGATGATTAATTTGTCCTTTATTTCTATACACTCTGCTCTTACCATTGAATAGCACTGTTTGGTTGAGTATTGTTTTTAATTTCCATGTTTTTAATATTATTATTTGTATTATTATTATTTATTTTTAATTTTCAATTTTATTTTGGTTGAGTATTACTTTAAGGATGTTGTTTCTTTTCAATGTTTATCATTTATGTAAGTTTTGCTTTTACGTAAATAATTTTACACAATCGTAATTTCAAAGGATACTGTTGAAATTTCAAATAAGGACATTTAAACACAAACTTCACATCCAAATAAGTTACCCAACTTTAAATAATTTCCCTATTTTCTGGGAAATAAGTTGTTGAGAGAAACAAAAAATTGCATTGTTGAGATTTTAAACTGAGATGCATCGGTGCAAGTCACATTTTATTATCACATTAAAAAAAACGTAAAATATTGGTAAAAAAAATAAAATGTTTATAAATATGCATTTGTTAATGCAAAGTTTTAGGCAAAAAAAGCATCTGAAACCTCTATCTCCTCTGTGTATTTCCCTTCCGAATGTGTGAATCTGCCCTTTTGACTTCTCCAGCAGAGAGCTGTTGACTGATTCAATTCAGTCATGTGAAAGTGTGCTATTATTCGATTTATAGGTGAGAAACCCGATCTCGTCTCAAACGCCGCTGAAATGCTGAAATGTGCGAGCGAGAATTATCAGAGGAAATACATGGCAGCTCATTTGCCAGGAATATTAAATACAACTTAATGTTTTTGACCAACTTAAGTAAATTTTATACGTATTTTCATCATTCATAATTTTGTCTATATAATATGGTTAAAGTATAAATAGTTAAAATGTTCTACAAAACATGTTTACAATGTTAAATTCTAATAGAATGCTAAAAATGCTAACAATGTGTGCTAAAACATTCTAGCAACATGCTATTAGAGGATAGCAATGAGCTAAATCATGCTAGAAACATGCTAACAACGTGTTAAATCATGCTAGTAACATGCTAAAATATGCTAACAATGTGCAAAATCAATGCTAGAAACAGGCTACCAACGTGTTAAATTATGCTAGCAACATGCTAAATGTTTGCAGCATCCTAAAACATGCTAGTAACATGTTAAAATATGCTGTTAAAGCATGTTACCAACATGTTAAATCATGCTAGCAACATGCTAAAACATGCTAGCAACATGCTATTAGAGGATAGCAATGAGCTAAATCATGCTAGAAACATGTTAACAACGTGTTAAATCATGCTAGCAACATGCTAAAGTTTTGCAGCATGCCAAAACATGCTAGTAACATGCTAAAATATGTTAACAATGTGCAAAATCATGCTAGAAACATGCTACCAACGTGTTAAATCATGCTAGCGTAGTACTATTTAATTGACTTTTCTGACTTGTCTGAGTAAAACCAAACTTTAAAGCTTAAGCCCAACATAAAGCTTTCCTCATTTAGTGTAAATTTATATTAAATACCTAAGAATGCTATTTTGACCCTTCCCATCGACCCTTCCAAACTCCTGTGTTCAGATCAGGGTTTTTAGCATGTCGGGATGCATCTGATTGGACCGGAGGGTCAATGCATTGAATATGGAGAGTCAGTCATCATCAAATTAACACAGGACCATTTCGTCTCTGACAGGCCTTTTCAAATCTTTGCTGATACAGGACATTTAATTTAATGCCCCATTGCCCTTTTAAATGTCAGTTCACTGGTTAATGTTTTATATCAAATCACCTGCACTTCAGAACGAGGGTAAACAGGAGGATTGTGACCGACACACGTGACTCTGATGTCTGCGACCGTCCTCAGAAAACGTCTCACACTTTTTACTTGCATGTTCTCCATAAGGACTTTTTAAAAATCCATGAACCAACCGAATCTACTTAATCTACCTAATCTAATTATTACATTGCAACTTTTCAAAAACATATCTGGAAAAAGACATGCAAGAAAAGTTCTATATTCAGCATAAATTAACATTTGTAAAGTATTTATCATAATGAATAAATATTTACATTTTTAATAAGCATGCAAAATATTTACAAACAGACTATTTATATTATATTATATTATATTATTTTATATTATATTATATTATATTATAGTAATGTAAATTTGGGATACAAAAATATATATTTTTCATTGTTAAGATGGAAATGATGGAGAAAAAGAATGTGATTTTTGCATGATTAGTGCTGTGTGATTTGTGAATGAATCAAGCTGTTACTGATCATCAGAGTAAATACTGCAGCTGTGAGTTAAATATGTTGCTTTACGCACAGTCAGGAAGGCAGTTTTCCGGATCCATGGCCTCTTCAGCCGTCTCAGAGTATTCATCCTCCTCCTCGCCGGGCTTCCTGAGGTCGATCGTGCTGCCTTCTGATAGGCTGGTGTCGTCTCTCTGAAAACCAAGAGAACCAATCAGATCTCCTGACCAATGAAATTACACATTTCACCTTTCCAATCACTTACTGGACTCCTGGAGATTAAAATAATAATAAAAAAAAACACTGATTCAGACAGATTTACAAATTAATCAAATTGACTGATGATTAGCTTGACTTATTCATTTCTAAAATAAAATTGCTCACAAGTAAGTTTTAGTAAAATATTTTAGAGATGAACATATTTGTGCTGTTTGTGTGTTGAGTAAATTATGTTTAATTTACATTATTGACACAAACAGCAACAGCAGCTATATTAGGCTGCTTTGGAGGAATAGTTCGCCCAAAAATTAAAGTTATGTTGTTGTTGTTCTAAACCTGAATGAGTTTCCTATATTGTATAAAATAAATAGACTACAAATAGACTGAATAGTCTTCACTGCATTAATTCAATATACATTATTTTACAAAAGCGATTCGGTCAAGGACAGTGAGTGATTTTCTTTCTAATGTTTAATTTACATTATTGACACAAACAGCAACAGCAGCTATATTAGGCTGCTTTGGAGGAATAGTTCGCCCAAAAATTAAAGTTATGTTGTTGTTGTTCTAAACCTGAATGAGTTTCCTTCTGCTGTTGAATGCAAACGTATATATTTGGAACAATAGCCTACAAACAGTTTCTGTGCACCCCATGACTTCCATAGTATGAAAAAAATAAACACTATTGGAGTCAACAAGGACCAGAAACTTTCTGGTGGTTACGAATACTTTTCAAAATATCTTCTTTTATATTGAGGAGAACAAAGAAATTCATACAGGTTCTGAACAACTTGAAACTGAGTAAATTTCTATCAAGTTAATAATCAAACTAACCTAAAATCTGTGGGGATGATGACGCTGTGTTTTATCTGCTCCATGTGTCCGGTCCATTTGCGGTTCCACATCTCCCTCTCCATCATCAGCTTTAGTAAACTAAACTAGCGGTGGATTTTAGTGACTCACTCATGTTTTCCCCTCTCTCCTCATTTTTTTCTCTCACTATTTTTTTTTAGAATAGTTGACATTTTTACGTATCGAAGATTGTTCTTTGCATGACCGTAGGGTTCACACAAAACAAGGGGAGTCTGCTTTTAGTTATTATGAGATCAGATGTGCTAAACATTAGTCACATTTAAATCTAGACTCAAAACTCATCTGTTTAGCTGTGCATTTATTGAATGAGCACTGTGAGATGTCCGAACTGACTGCACTGTATTTTATGTATAATATATTCATCACTGTTTTAATTCATTTTCAATCAATTATGAAATCATTTTAATGAAATTTAACACCAGACCGGCCCACGGCTTCCACAGGATGATAAAAAGACCACACAATGAACGCATGCCTCACTGCTGCTCTATTGTTCCACACAAGAGAAACAACTGAGAGAATATGAGGAACAAAACATGACAGACCTGTGAAAGTAAAACAGGCATTTTGTGGCTTGTAGTTCATGTCTATTAGACTGCAAGGATTACGTGCTAGTTACTTCTAAACACTGACAAAGAATATGCATTTAAAATGTCTTTCCCTTTAAGGAAAATAAACCAAAAATATTGATTAAGCATGTCCAGGTCACATTTTAAAATTAAAATGAAATAAAATTAAATAATATAAAAATAGCAAATAAATAAATATTTTCAGCACATTTTCCTGTCAAATTCATACTACTTTATTTACTTTATTTGCTTTGATACTTTGAATACTTAAATAGTCACTATGATAAATACTTTACGTTTTAATTTATGCTGAATTAAATGAAAAAGGGCTGTCAAAAACCCCCCGAAAAACCACTAATTAAGATAATTTTTTGGTTGTAAAATGTGTGCTTGATTGTCATGCAAAATTAATTGCCATAGAAATAGGCTTCATATTCTTTGTGCAAAATAGAATGCAACGTTTTATCTTGAAATAATCTACACATTTTAATTTCTGCTGAATTAAAAAGAAAATATCTAAAATATTTAACTAAATTTTTTAGTGTTTATTGTGAAAAGTGTGCTAGTTGTCATGAAAATAATTTTACAATGCAACAAAAAATTAATGGTCATTAAAAAGGCTTCTTTTTCTTTGTGCCAAATAAAATATTAATGCAACGTTTTAATCTTGATTTTAAGGTGAAATATGACCTGTTTTTTTCTCTAGAATCTATTTAGGCTTACAATCTTCTGGGAATTGCAGCTCTGGGCATTTTCAGGCTTTTTTCCAAAAAAAAAAAAAAGTGAAGAAAAGAAGAAGACAAAAGCAGATATGTGATATTGGCCTGACTGTATCAGTTTAACCTAATTTAGCTTCCATTCTCACTTAACATCAGATTTTAACATCCAACCAGCAATGCTTAAACACACAGACTTATCAGCGTTTCCTAAATCATTCAGTCATCTTCTGACAATAAACACAACCTTTACTCCAATTACTGACTCTTCAGGGCTGTTTTTTCACTGCTATTGTATGATCTGATGAGATTGAAGTGAAATATGATCTGTTTTTTCTGAGCACTCAGTAAACAGGTAATGAGCTCAGCATTACATCATCAATATCGCTGCATTTTCCGTGTCAGAAAGCGTGACGGCCCATTAGCGTGCAGCTTTGTTCGTCTTGCACGCAAACTCAAGTTTGCATGTGGTTCTCGCCGGTGTGCGAGGAATCCCAGCACTGCAAACCGGCCACAAAAGCCCTATAAATAACCTCCTGCAGGGCTACGAGAGCCTGGATGTGGCATTCGGCACTGGAATCTAATGAAATCAGAGCCGTTTGAGTGCCATCAGCAGAGCGGCTGTCTAATCGTGCTGATTCGACAGAGACTGAGGCGAACGAGCGTCAATAAAAACCAAATCCCAACACTTCACTTCCACCTGCCGAGAGCCGACGTCCGTCAGTCACACAGAAACACATCAATAACACAATCGAATCACATGATGCCATTAGAGCCAGGATGTAGGACACATCCATACCGCGTTATTACCGGGCAAACCTGAGATCCGATCTGTCTGACTGACTGTCGTCTGTCTGTCTGAGCAGTACTGATGAACACAAGATGAAAACATTGTCATGCGGTTTCTATTAGGGTTGTATGGTTTGGGGAAAAAATCTAATTGCACTTTTTCTGATAAAAGCTGTGAAAGCGAATTGTTTGAAAAAAAAACAATTTTGTTGTTTATAGGGCTGCACAATTTGGCAAAACTTTTGTTATTATACTGTATATCAATATGGATATGAAATACTAATACTACTACTTTTTTGATTAATCGTGCAGCCCTAGTTTCTCTGATGCAATATGCAGGTGATGTAGTCGCATAAATGTCTAAATCATCACAAAGTCCAAAGCGAGAATCACACATGGCACAAGTAGAGCAATGTGCAAGCGAGTAGAAGAACAAATGCGTCTAATTCTGGCAAATTATGGGTCATCAGAGCTTGAAGTTTATTAGCGTTTCTCAGAATGAGCTCGGGTCTTCTCTGAAGAATCACCAGATACACAGAGATGCACCGAGACACACAGAGACAAACAAGAGACACTCTGAGACATACAGAGACACACACAAACACACAGAGATACTTGGAGACGCACGGAGATGTACAGAGATGCACAGAGACATGCAGAGACATGCAGAGACATGCAGAGACACATTGAGACACGCAGATAAGACTCAGAGACAGACAGACATATAGAGAGACACACAAACGCACAGAAACACTCTGAGACACATAGAGATGTACAGAGACAAACAAGAGACACTTAGAAACATACAGACACTCACAGACACACTGTGACAAACAGAGACACACTGAGACAGACCAAGACATGCAGAGACACATAGAGACAGATAGAGCACTCAGACACACAGACACAAAAAGAGACACTCAGAGACACTCTGAGACAGACTGAGACAGACAGAGACATGCAGAGACACATTGAGACAGACAGAGACACACTGAGACAGACCGAGACATGCAGAGACACACTGAGACAAACAGAGACACTCAGACACAAAGAGACACACAGAGATATTCAGATCCACACTGAGACAGACAGAGACTAACTGAGACATGCAGAGACAGACAGAAACACTCAGACACACAAACACACTGAGACACAAAGAAACTTGCAGAGACACACAGATACAGAGACACTGAGACACACAGAGACAAAAAGAGACACCAAGACACTCAGAGACAGACCAAGACAGACTGAGAAATGCAGAGACACACTGAGACACACCGAGACATTCAGAGACACACTGAGACAGATCGAGGCACACTGAGATACACTGAGACAGACTGAGACACAGACATGCAGAGACACATTGAGACACACTGAGACAGGCCAAGACAGACTGAGACATCCGGAGACACATTAAGGCACACTGAGACAGATAGAGACACTCAGACACACACAGAAACGCACAGAGACCAACAGAGAGAAGACATGGAGATGGATGGATGGACGGCGACACACAAACAGAAACCTGAGGTCAAACTCCTACACGTTGCCATATGGTTTCCAGTTTCAGGCAGAGCTTTTGATGAGCACAAGCTCTAATTAGTCTTATTTGACCTCTTTTTGAGGTGAAACTGAAATGTGTCATACTAAATCAAGTTGTTCAGGATGTGTTAAAGAACAAAACTGGACAACAAGGGATTGTTAAAAATATGTATAAATATTATATTCTAAAAATAAATTTAAAAAAATAAATACATGCATATTAATAGTAATATATACATTAATAAATGAATGAATGATTATTACTATTTGTTTATAAACAAACAAACAAATAACTAAATAATAAAGTCAGTCTATCTATCTATCTATTAATCAATTTCATCTATAAATCTAATACAAATCCATCAATAAATATTAATTTTTAATTTTTAAACAACTAACTAAATAATTAAATATTAGTATTATCGCAGTAATCTATAAATATACAACTAACTACCTAAATATTAGTATATCTATAATTAAACAAAT